CACACACACACACACACACACACACACACACACACACACACAATTTTAAAGATTTATTTATTTATTATGTATACAGAAGAGGGTGCCAGATCTCATAGATGGTTGTGAGCCACCATGTGGGTCCTGGTATTGAATTCAGGACCTCTGGAAGAGCAGTCAGTGCTCCCAACCTCTGAGCCATCTCTTCAGCCCACACACAATTTTAGAAATGAAATAAATCTTAAAAAGAAAATAGAATGTTGCGGTATAATTTATGAATAGACAGATCAAAAAAAAATAATAGAAAATCCAGAAATAGACTTTGATTTAATAGGGCCAAGAATTGGAAATACTATACTGTCAGATATTAACTCAAACATTGAATTAAGGGGTTAAAAAAAAACAATTATCAGCAGTTGGTTAAAAAAAGATACGAGGAGAAACAGCACATATATCTCAGTAGAAAGACTAATCTTCAGTGCTCTACTGCTCATCAAAACCACATGGACCATTTCAGAGAACACCTGTCAGCAGATACTCAAACCTGGGCACAATGATTGAGTTCAAATGCCCCCTTTGAATTCATGAGTCAGATTCATGGAAAGCTGAGAGACATTACCTTTTAGGTCCCTTCTGTGCTCATGTCTCTATGATTATGTGCACTTTTTAAAAACTCCATGTGTTTACTATTTATCTGATATAGGTCTTTTGTAGTCCAGGCTTGGCCTAGAACTTGCCGTGTAACCAAAGGTGACCTTGAACTCCTGATCATACTTCCTCTTCTTCCCGAGGCTGGGATTACAGGTGTTTGTCACAATACCCAGCTGACTCTGTGTGCTTAAATGTTTCCCCTGATTCAGTTGGTAACCACAGCCATGACTGTGCTACTTCAGCAATTTTCTAAAATTATACTGCAATTTAAGATTTATGATGTCAATGAAATCTTTCAGTGGTTACTTCAGAAATAATTTTGACCAAGATCTGGGCAACACAAAGAAAGTTTTGTTGAAGATGCATTTTTAAGGTGATGCTTCAAATCCTATAAATGTTTACATAGAAATGCCTCCTTCCTTCTCAGAACTGGGGACATTAATATGCATGCTATCAGATCATACCTGTGAGGTATGGCTGTCATAGCAACCAAAGCTTCTTCAGAATTTCCTGGAGGTACATGCCCTTCAGTCAGAGACTGGAGGACTATGTGGCTGCCGTTAAACAATCACTATGCACTGAGCTGGAATTATGGGTAAAACTACAGGATTAGCCAGGCAGATGGCTCACACCTATAATCCCAGCATTTAAGAAGCTGATGAAGGAAGACTGTCACAAGTTCAAGGACAAGGCCAGCCTATCTCAAACAGTTCAAGCCAATCTGTGCTACAAGAGACCGCATCTCAAATACACACAAGAAACTGGACGAATACAATACCATGTAGGGATGTAGAAAGGGTGGTGAGTACATCCTAAGGACAGAGTCTCAACAGGTCCCACACAGGCAGAGGTAGACGAGTAAGACGAGGCTGAAGAGACATGAAGAGGATAAAATCCAGGAACTTTTGTCTTGTAAGGAAAGTTTACCGACGGAATGAACAGTTAAGAGCCAGATGCTAAAGGGGAGGCCGGTTAAAGGAGGACTGAAGATTCCAGAGCAGGCAATAAAACCACCAGCGACTCACAGCAGATTTAGAATTTTAACAGAACCCACTGTGGGCCAGGTTGGGTCTCAGGGGTTGCTCAGCATTCCTTAGGCCCTGGGTAAGATCAGTACCACTGGAGAAAAATTATGGTGGAAGGAGAAAGAGAAATGAGGCAGAAATCGAAGGACGGATTTTTTAGAATGGAAGAAATGGCCATGTTTCTGAAGTACTTTCATGTCGGTAGATGGAGCTACTGGGAAGATGTTAAAGATGAGAAGGAGAGAGGCTAGCCCACAGATGAGCGAACCACTCAGAAGTCACACCCTGGTGACTAAAGGAGGGGGGCACAGAAGCAGCCGGTCTGAGGAAGACTCAGGCATGTCCATCTGAAGACGTAGATTCAAGATGGGTGTGGCAGTGCACAAGGCAGGCAGATCTGTGAGCTCCAGGCCAGCCTGGTCTACAAAATGAGTTCTAGGACAGCCAGAGCTACATAGTGAGACCCTGTCATGTAAAAACAAAAACAAAATTAAAAAAAAAAAAAGGCTCAACAGCTAAGAGGTCTTGCTGCTCACGCAGAGAACCCAGGTTCAGTTCCCAGCATCCACACCAGGCAGTGCACATCTGTATGTAACCCCAGCTCCAGGGGATCCAAAGCCCTCTTCCAGCCTCCATAGGCACACACACACACACACACACACACACACACACACAGCTGGAGGGAGACATAAAAACAAATCTTAATTTATTTTAAAGCAAATGTTCTTCCTTAGGAGGAAGAAGAGGTAGGTCAGAAGCAAATCCTCTTCTGGTGGAGTCTACCATGAAGATGCAGAACAGCGATTGCAGAAAGATGCTGCAACTTACCCCTGAGATTGAGGAAGAACCCGAATGTGACCTTACTAATGACCGCTCCACTCATCTCCTTACCAGCCGAGTAACACCAGCATGTGGTAAATACCTCTTCCCCAAGCAGCTGCTCTGCTTCCTCGTAGTTCAGTAATCGCATTTTCCTGCCTTTGATATTAGAAAGGAGGTGCGAACATGTGCTGATCCAATCATAACATTCTCTCTGGGAAGAGACACAGCATAATCACTATGCAGGGGATAAAACAAACTATCCCAGCGCACTCATTGACTCCCATCGACCTGCTAAGCACAACTCCTCTAATTAGAGCACCTTTCTGTTCAGTTAATTCAAAGACTTGCCCAGAAGTGTCTTACTACAAACGTAGACCTAAATCACATTATCTCTTTCTGACAGGGTTTGTGATCTAGGTTGTAATAAAATAAAGTGTGGTGAGGTACCATAAAACCAGCTGCAGAAGGATTCATGGGTTTACTAACACTTAAATGATCTGTCCTAATTAATTTTATGCAATTGACCATGTTAACATGATTGTTTGCTAATAACAATAGTATTGGGTGAGGGTTACTTCTGAGATTGAAACAATCCATCTTGCAGGGAAGCCCCTTAACATAGGAAATAAGCAACTCAAAATAG